ACCCAGTGGCAAGCTGACCTTTGACCCGGCAGGTGCTTGTGGTTGCTTTGTCGCATCCGCGCATGCAGATGGCGCTAGAGATAGCCTCTCCTGGAGGTAATGGGCAATTGAGGCAGTGACTGTTCTTTTCAGCATTCAGTTTCTTTTTTATTTATTTTTAATTTTTTTTAATGTTTGTTTTTTTTTTTTAATTTTTTTTTTCAACGTTTATTTATTTTTGGGACAGAAAGAGACAGAGCATGAACGGGAGAGGGGCAGAGAGGGAGGGAGACACAGAATCGGAAACAGGCTCCAGGCTCTGAGCCATCAGCCCAGAGCCCGACGCGGGGCTCGAACTCACAGACCGCGAGATCGTGACCTGGCTGAAGTCGGACGCTTAACCAACTGCACCACCCAGGCGCCCCTAATGTTTGTTTTTGAGAGAGAGAGAGACAGAGAGAGAGAGCGAGACAGAGCATGAGTGGGGGAGGGGCAGAGCGAGAAGGAAACACAGAATCCGAAGCAGGCTCCAGGCTTCGAGCTGTCGGCACAGAGCCCGACGTGGGGCTCAAACCCGCAAACTGAGATCATGACCTGAGCCGAAGTCGGACGCTCAACCGACTGAGCCACCCAGGCGCTCCTCAGCATTCAGTTTCTAATAATGTTGAACTACAGCTGAATTGTACTGTATGAAAGAACTAAACCAACTCTTCTCATTGTAGAGACAAAAAAATATATGTTTTTTAAATTTTTGTATCCTTTTGTTTTTTAAATTTCAAGAAGTGTAGAGCTTTTAGTTGTTGTAGCAGGTAGGGTTTTTGTTTTCCTTGTTTAATATTACCTGAAACTGTCTCGTCAGCTGAAGTATTTCTCCTGAAATGTTAGATTCCACGTTTCCGCACATTCCTAGCCAAGTGCCACGGGGAGTAAATCTGTGTACTTCCACCTAAATACAGCGATGTCATCATGTGGAAGGTACAGGTACCTCTGTCTGCGGCCCTGAGCTCCCCCGTTGGAGATCCTGAGGCCGTCCTCCCCCTCCCTCCTCCATCCCTGACTGCCACAGGGAAGGCAGAGGGTCTCTCTTGAAATTTTTTTTATATATTTAAAAAAAAATTTTGTTTAACGTTTATGTATTATTTTTGAGACAGAGCATGAGCGAGGAAGGGGCAGAGAGAGGAGACACACAGAATCCGAAGCAGGCTCCAGGCTCTGAGCTGTCGGCACAGAGCCCGACATGGGTCTTGAACCCGTGAACCGTGAGATCGTGACCTGAGCCCAAGTCGGACGCTCAACTGACTGAGCCACCCAGGTGCCCCTCAGAGGGTCTTTCTGATTCGTGTCAGGTGATCTCAGACTTCCCAGGACCCTGGAAGCGATTAGCATTTGGAGACTCCAGTAGATGCGAAGTCAGCAAGTAGTTAAAATGTCAGTGAAGGTCTAAGTGAAATCATGTGTGAGTCCCTGAAACAGGTATTTGTGAACAGAGTGCCCTCTCAAGAAGACCCACAGCAGGTACTCTCTGAGAACAGTGGAGTTGTTGTCGTTTACAAGTGTTTTCTCCACACCCTGGGTTCTGCCGTAACGAGGTAAAGTTGGTCCCGCTCCGGTCGGCTTCCTGGTCAGGCACATGGCCCGTGTTGGCCTCGTGTGTCCATTTCCCCCTCTGGTTTACTTTTCTCAGCTCTCAGTGATCTGTTCATGCCTTGCTGAACTTTCACTGTAGTACTGGCTTACTTTCACTTATAACCCACTCCTTTTGAGTCTCTCTGTGCTACTTCTGCCTTCTAGCATTTTACTGTCACATTCACCACCCCCTGACCCCACCCCGTGACAGGTTGGACCAGAGGCCCTGGAACTGCCACCCATTTAAAACCAAAGGGAATAGTCGGGGCTAACCATCACCAGTAAAGGGAACAAAAAGATGCCGAGACGTTTTTGCAAACCAGTCGGTCCTTTGAACCCGTGTATATGTCTCGTGCCCCAGGTGCAGAGATAAATAAGTCGGCGTTCCTGGTGTTCAGTAGCCCAGGATTTTTTGTGGTGACAGGAAAGCAAACAGAAAAATGACAAACAGTATGGTAAATGCTTTCAAGCACAGATGAGAATGGACAGGCTAGAGGGAGTCCGACCAACCTGTAGAAGGAGTAAGAGATCTTGACCGGACGCTTAGAGGAATCCATTTATTTAGTGTTTCTAAAATATTTACTCAGCACCTCTCTTGTGCTAGGCACTGTGGGTTCAGTGGTGAAAAAGACTGTTGGTTCCTTACCTCGTGGACTTTCTGGAGAGGAAAGACAGATTTTAAACCAACAATGAAACAGCCACGAACGTGAAAATATTTTGGAGGAGGAAAACGAGGAGCTGGGGTTACGTGAAGGGCGAGTGTGGGCATTGAGGCAGAGGGGCTTGAGGCAGAGCTGTCCACGGGCCTCTTGGGCAAAGTGATTCCTCAGCTGTCCTTGCAAAAACAGTTCCAGGAAGAGTGGTCTAAGTGGAGGGAGCAGCATTTGGAAAGATCCTGGGGCATTCAGCCCTGTCACATTCACCACCACGAGGGCTTTCACGAGCCATCCTGCAGCCTGCACGGCACATAGCACAGCACTTGCATGGGGAGGCCAGGTGGCCAGGGCACAAGGAGGGCATGCACTCACAAAGCACATATTTGCATTTTTGGAACATCTTATATATACGCACCTAGCAGTTTGTCATTGAGTTGATATATATATATATATATATTTTTTTTTTTTTTTTTTTTTTTTTTTTTTTTTAAGTAAGCTTCACGCCCGGCGTGGAGCCAAGCGTGGGGCTTGAACTCAGGACCCTGAGATCAAGACCTGAACTGAGTTCAAGCGTCAGATGCTTAGCCAACTGAGCCATCCAGGCACCCCGTCACTGAGTTGATAAATTTAATAATTATTTTATCAGTGGTTTTTATTATGACTTGAGGTGAAATGGGAATTAGCATTTAGAACTGAAGAGTATTATATAATTCTTTGCTGAGCTATATTATGAAGAGAACTTAGGCAGGATGAGAAAAATGATTCTTTTCCCCCAAGGAAGTGGAAATCATTATTTTTGCAATCCTCAGAGGCACATAAAACATCCCGAAAGCTAAAACGGCAGCTGGGTGTTCAGAGAAGCCTGGGGGATAGGCTGGCTGAGGGATCATTTCCTGAGAGTGAGTTGCATTCACACAGGAGCTGACTTTTAAGGGAGCCCACGGGGAATCTCCTCCCTTCTGCACTTTGAGAGCACCTGCCATCTGACAGGTTTTTCTTTTCTGAGATCTTGCCTGTTAGGTGAGGAGAATGAGCTGTAAGTCCTCAGGGGTCTGGGTCTGTGTGTCGCATTGCCCCTGAATGCCTGAAGGCATTCTCCTTTTTTTTTTTTACGTGTTGAAGGATGCTCGTGTTCGGCCACAGGTAGAGCTGATGGGTAGAGCTGATGCTGACCGGTCTCGTGCTCTGAGCAGTGGGGACAGGTGGAAGGCACGGGGTCTCTGTGACGGAGTCTGAGCCGCCTCCTGCCGAATGTGAGCTGTGGGGCTGGCCTTCCTGAAGGCCTTTCCTTGGCTGCACATACTCTGAGCTTGAGCTCACCCTCTGCCTCTCGGCAAAATGCGATTTTCTGGTTTTAGTGGAATATTCCAAAACTATAAATAAATAACTTGTGATTAATTGTTCTTTGATACAAACATCAGTAAGCTACCGTAATAAAGGATAAAGATGTATCCCGGTGGTTTTTTTTTAACATGGATTTATTTATTTTTCCTTTCCAAGTTATCCATTCAATTAGAGATTACAAAACGGGGAAAATATTGCCGTTTTCTTAGTTGTAACACGACTTAAAGCCCTCCGTAACGTGCATGTTAGGTGCTATCTCTGGGGTGGCTCTCCCAGACCCTTGGTCCCTGGGCCCTAGACCAGTGAGGTGGACCTTGCCCTGTTTCTTCATGCCCCATCTCTCCTGTTTTGTTCTACATTTCTCACCCAGTCTACCTTAATTTTCTACCTATTCGCCTTTTCCCAACTCATTTTTCACCTTTAAGTCAGCCGAGCCAAAGGGCAGCAGTGTGGCGTGTTGAAAAGTCAAGATCGGGAAGCCAGGGCCCAGCCTGATGCCTGCCTCCGCCTCCCTCTGGCCCCACGTCCTAGTGCTCTTAGTGCGTGAGGGAGGAGGCGGGTGGCGATGCTCACGCAGGGCCTCGTGGGGGATGAGCATGCGTTTCTCTTTCCCTCCCTTGCTTCCTCCTTTCCTCCCTTCCTTCCTTCTTTCTTCCCTTCTTCCTCTCTTTTCTCTTTTTCTCTCTCTGCCTGCCTCTTTCCCTTTTCATTTCTTCACTCTCTCTCTTCCTTCCCTCCCTGCCCTGTTTCCTTCCTTCCTTCCCGCCTGCCTGCCTGCCTTTTAAAGCAAGGGAGAAGCCCTAACTCCCTTAGCCCCTATACCTTCCCCAAACATAGCAGCCCCTGAATTCTCTCTTTGAAATCCCTTGGAGGTCTTTTTTTTTTTTTTTTAATGTTAAAAAGTGTCAGGATTTTGTGATTGCATAAGTGGAATAAACTTTTTTCTTTTTTTAAAAAATATAATTTATTGTCAGCTTGGTTTCCATACAACACCTGGTGCTCATCCCAACAAGTGCCCTCCTCCCTGCCCATCACCCAGTTCCCCGCCCCCCATCAACCCTTAGGTTGTTCTCTGTATTTAAGAGTCTCTTATGGTTTGCCTCCCTCCCTCTCTGTAACTTTTTTCCCCCTTCTCTTCCCCCATGGTTTTCTGTTAAGTTTCTTAGGATCCACATATGAATGAAAACATATGGGATCTGTCTTTCTCTGCCTGACTTGTTTCACTTAGCATAATACCCTACAGTTCATCCACGTTGCTGCAAACGGCAGGATTTCATTCTTTCTCATTGCCAAGTAATATTCCATTGTATATATAAACCACATCTTCTCTAATACATCATCAGTGTTATTTTAAATTTCTCCTTTTAAATACTTATTTTTTTTATTCTATTACAGCCCAATGATGATAATTACCCAGAAGATCACTAGTTTGGCTTATGAAATTCATGATGGTAAGAATTTAGAAATTAACTTTTCATCACCGAAAGAAATCCTATTCCAATATACTTTCACTTGAGATAAGACCCTAACTTTCTGCATTAGAGGAGCTAAGAGACAGGAATATTCAACTCTGCTTAGGTTCATTAAAGTGTGTTTATTTACTTTTTTTTTTTTTGCAGTTTTTCATCTTAATTTCACACCTGATTTAGTGAAAAAAACAGTAAGAGTGGGGTCCGTCATATGACCAACATTAGTGGCAGTATAAAAATATAAAAGAAATAGACATTTGGTCTCAATCAAGTTTTATTGGTCCCTGCTTCATCTTTGTTACATTTTTATTAATTAGTATTTGAATGCTTTTCCCCCATCCCTCATCCCTTGTATATACAATACACGCACGCACAATTACATGTATTTTTAGCATAAATATTTATATATTCATATTTTCAATCTTCAGTGAATGGACACCTTGCCATAGGAAATGCTAACACTCTGGGCTGTGAGTCATGAGTTAGACTCTGGTTTCTTCCCATACTGGAGGGACATCCCCGTCAGACTGGTCATCCGTAGTGGCCCACAGAGCTTTTTACGTGGGGTTTTTAGCCCCACTGCATACAGCACCCATCCTGTGCCATCTGCTAAGGAACACCTACAGATATGTTTTAAGTATATTGTTTGCTTCTTAATTTAGTTTTCCTTTGGTCTTTAAATTGGGCTTAGAATCTAGTAATGTGTAATCGTAAGTCCTAGCCTCCTCTTTGGGGAGAGAAGGTAAAGATGATGTATGTATACAGTTTTCATTCATTAGAGTCAGAGAGAGGTAGGGAAATCATTTCTTGCTCTATGTTGAGCTTCTGGTTCATAATACTGATGTTAGTCAATCATCTAACAATGGAAACATTTTGATGCCCCCTTCTGTTTTTTTAAATGTTTACTTATTTATTTTGAGAGAGGGGCAGAGAGCGTCAGCCGAGGAGGGACAGAGACAGAGACATAGAATCCAAAGCAGGCTCCGGGCTCTGAGCTGTCAGCACAGAGCCCAACATGGGGCTTGAACCCACAAACCATGAGACCATGACCTGAGCCGAAGTCAGATGCTCAACTGACTGAGCCGCCCAAGTGCCCCTTAAATGCCGCCTTTTGAAAGTCATAGTGTTTATTATAAAATATGCTAGCATTTTAGAATTTTTTTTTATTATTCTCAAATTAGTTAATATACAGTGTAGTCTTGGCTTCAGGAGTAGAATCCAGTGACTCAGCACTTACATATAACACCCATGGAATTTTTAAGTTAATAATAATTCCTCTAGGGAAGTCTCAGATTTGTGCCTTGAGGTGTGTTATTTATCTTATACAGACCTAGACACGTTGGGTTCCATGGTGGTCCTTTGACGTGATTGAACCGATGTGACAATGAGAAAGAAAGGAACCAGTTACACCAAAAGTTGGGATTATAGCATGAATTTCCACTGAGAAAATGGTAGAAGTGTGAATGGGGGAAAATGCCATTCTTGGGGGAAATCACAGTTGACCAAAGTACCTGTTTTTATTTCCCAGGGATGTTTCGAAAGGATGAAGAACTGACTGCATCACAGAGAGGTCTGGCTGTAAGGTACGTGCCCTTCCGTGGTGTCCCGCCATGGTTCACGCTGTCTCTACCTGGGATATACTCGACTCTCATGGCTAAGGCTGCCTTGTCCTCCTAGAGGTACTGACTTCATGAAAACCAAAGCTTCCTCCCTCCGCATACCTCCCTCCACCAAATCTGGCTGGGTGAGGCTACATATCCCTTCTAAGGCTCACATAGCACCTTGGATATATCATCACATAGTATGTGCCTCCTGTGTACCATGAGGGTATCACCAAATTTTCTGTCTCTCCTGTGACTTTCTGAGTTCCTGAAGACAGCAAGATCATATAGTCTTCGTGTCTGCCATGTAGTAATGGTCTCCACTTCCATTTACAGACCAATAACTCAATAGCAGGTACTGAGTTAAGATATGTTAATATAGCACATAGATGCCATGTTTTGAAACAACAAAGAACCAGTAAAATATTCTCAGTATTCTTTGAGGAATTTATTCTGGGTTGGTTTCTACTTCCTTTATTATAGTACTGTGTTGTCTTATCTAAGGAATAGCTTAATTTCTTGGATAGGGTCTATCTTAATACAATTAGACATCAAAACCTCATTTTACCTAAAGGAAAAATTCCTTGGAAGCCCCTTGCTTTTTGTAAATCAAAAACTAACAGGTGCCTGGCTGTCAGAAGAATGAGGTTAAGTTTGTGATAGTGGATAGACCCTACCCTGAGGCTTCCCTCTTGGCAGCATATCTTGGGAATCTTCTTACATTTTCCCCACCTTTAAAATTACTCCATTTTGATATTCTCCGTAGTCAGTATTTACATATCAGTAAACACACACTTGAACAGACAGTTGATGAGCGGGCACTTTGATCTGGATTCTGGGGTCTTTAGGAGTCCTCGGCCCATCCCTGCCACCTCTCGTTAATGGACAGTCAGCTCCCAGTTCCGCCTTGCCCTCCCCCCACACACCTACCTAGCAAAACCCCAAACGCTATTAAATTCAACTCTCCGCCTACCCAGACCGCGGAAGGGAGCAGACTGGAAGAACGTTCGTCCCCGTTGACTGCACTTGTTTTGACGGGGTGGCCCCACGTTTAACATTAGGGCCTTAGCGTGGCCAGTGGCCGCGGTGCGTCTTCCGGTCCGCTCCCGCTCCCGCGCTCTCGTTCCTCAGACGCCCCGCACACCCTCCCCCAACTCAGGGTGGCAGCAAAGTTACTTCATTCTGCAACCACTAAAGCTGCCAAGCTGCCTGTGTCTGTAACGCCATGCTCCACTTCCTGTCCCGTCCCAAGCGCTGCCCATAGTCCAGCCCAAGGCCAACTTCTCACTTCTCCCTGAGTCCAGCTGCTTTTAACTCCAGGATCTTGCTTCTCGCCCCGGCCCGGGCACTGTCACTCGTCATTACTCCCTGTCTTTTCGCACTGAAAGGAGAAACACCTTTACCTCACTTTCCCTGCGAGCTGCCTCCCCAGTACTCTGCAGCCTTGTAGAGCAAGCCTCTGTGAGAGATTTGTGTCGCCGTCTCCCCTTCCCCACCCCCCTGCTCTCCTCAGCCCACGGCACTCGGGTGTGTCCCCACTACCGGTCTGATAGCGTTTTTGCAGGTGGCCTTACCCTCGGCAGACGTAATTGTCAGCCTCCCAGCACCATCTGACCCAGCCGATCCGTCAGTCCTTGAACTACATTCCTCACTTGCCTTCCAGGAGGCCACCCTCCTGTGTTCTTCCCACCTCTCTGGCTGTTTCCGTCTGTCTTCTTTGCTGAATCCTCCCCCTCTGAGGCTCACCACTAAAGACTCGTGGGTTCCAAGGCCATCCTTGGACTCCTCCGTGTTCTCTGGGGATCACGTGCCGTCCACTGGCCTTCAATACGGTCCACCTATTTGAAGTCTTGCAACTGTCTTCCCACGGCACCTCTCTTCTGAGTTCCAGCCTCACCCTCATCTGCCATTTCAACATCCTGGCGTGGATCTGAGCAGGTGTCTCAAATAGGACAAGTTCCAAAAAGAGCTCCTGATTTCCGTCTCCTTCTTCCCTCTCCCCGGCCCACTACCTGCTTAGTCAACAGCAGTGCCACTTGAAACTAGCCCCTTGGGGCAAAAACCGAGGCCGACTCATGCTTTCTTACTGCAAATCCACTTCTCTGGCAAGTTAACCTCTTCCTTGGAGACCTGTTTCTCATCTGACCATGACATCTGACCGTCCCTGATCAGACTGGCTTCTCACCATTCCCACTGAGATTGCCCCAGCCGGACCTCGCCCTCTACCGGGCCTACTGGAAAAGCCTCCCCAGCAGGGCTCAGTTTTCTCCCTTTTTTCCCTCCACAGTCTGCATTTCACTCAGCAGCCACAGGTCTTTCCGACATGCGTTGGATCATACTATTCCTCTCTTCTGAGGAAGAGCCCACAGCGGCTCCTCATGGAATTAACTGGGGGTGGACTAACACACTTAGGACCGCCAGGTACGGGGCCCGACAAGGGCCACTAGTTGTACACAGACCCCCTTGTCAGAAACCCCCCCCTTCCCTGCCGTCACTCTCTGTCCCTTGGCCCTCCTTTGTTTTTCTTCACAGTCTATGTTATTGTCTGATAGTATAGATTTATTTTCGATTGTCCTTCTTTCTGCCCCCTTAGTGAAACAGCTGTGTGCAGAGAGAAGTTGAGCTCGTTGATGATTATATCCTCATCGCCGAGATAGCAGCTCACCACTGGGGGTGCTTGCGCGCCCTCCCCGGGGACATCAGACAATGTCTGGAGACAGTTTTCGTTGTCACAGTGGAGGGGGGTGACGCTACTGACATCTAGCGGGTGGAGGCCAGGATGCCGCTAAACACCCTCCAGTGCGCAGGACAGCCCCCTGCAACAAAGAGTTATTGTCCAAGAAAGCCCGTAATGCTGAGATTGAGAAGCTCGAACCGAGGACCCAGTGGAGTTGACCCCAAATAAACGCCTATGGAACGAAAAATGGTTCTGTCATTTCATGTCATAAAGGACATGCCTCTCATTTTAGGCAGCAAATACTTCTCATTTTAAGTAGCAAATGTTGTAATTAGCTACTCAGGATGTAAAATGACTTGTCATTTGTTATGACAGTTGAGCCAGGACAGCTTCAGCAAATGTCGTGGTTCAGAGTTATCTCCTGTCCTTGCAAATTGTGACACACTGTTTGACTTGGGAGGACTGAGCTGCACGCCTTGGTAACCTGGCATTGTTTCGGGGCTTGAAATACTCAGTGTTGAAGTGGAGCTGTTTTGGGGGAGCGCAGGAAGTTCGTCACTTCGTGATTGCAGGGCACGCACCCTTGTTTGAGGCAGTGAGAAAGCATTCTCTTTCAGCATCACGGGAAGAAAGACAAGAGACAATCTGCCAGCAGCATGTTTCTCGCCTCAATTTTGAGCCTTCAATAGAAAAGACGTAAAGCTCAAAACAATTTTAAATGTGGAAAAATAATTCTGGAAGAATCTAAAAAGGAGTTTGGCTCCGTGGTGATCCAGCTAGTATCAGATGGACAGGAAGCACAGTTTTCTTTTTTATGGTTTTTTTTAATAAAGACACATATGAGGGGGGTTCTGTCAACTTCTCTTGGCCACAAAGAGTGTGCTTTTTTAAGGAAAGCACTTCGCACATTTAGAGAGGAAGGAAGGATGGTAACATCTTCCAGAAGCCTGCTTCCTGTCCCCAGGTGTAGCTGTTCTTTTAAAAATCTCTTTTTTAAGTTTATTTATTTTGAGAGAGAGACTGAGCACAAGTGGGGGAAGGGGGGAGAGAGAGAGAGAGAGTCCTAAGTAGGCTCAGCACTGCTAGAGCAGAGCCCAAGGTGGGGCTCGAACTCATGAACCATGAGATCGTGACCTGAGCCGAAATCAAGAGTTGGACGCTTAACTGACTGAGCCACCCGGGTGCCCCAGCTGTTCTTTTGTTTATGATTGTCAGTGGACAGCAGACTTGATAAATGGAGCTGCTTTCAGGAAATCAATAAGGGGAGCCTGGGTGGCTCAGTAAGTTGAGTCTCCGACTCTTGGTTTCGGCTCAGGTCACGATCTCATGGCTCGTGAGTTCGAGCCCCGTGTCGGGCTCCACGCTGACAGCTCAGAGCCTGCTAGGAGCTCCCTCTCTTTGTGCCACGTGTGTGCATGTGCTTGCTTTCTCTCTCAAAATAAAGAAATAAACTTAAAAAAAAAAAGAAAATCAATAAAATGCAGGCTGCTAAGTCACCTGTATGATAACGTGTGTATTTTTCACCCGGTTACCTGCAGTAAGAACTAGAATGCTCTGTAAACTTTAGATACCACGTGTCATTTGCACAGACCTCAGAGCACTTGAATGGAAAATGTTGCAAGGGATCCCTCATTGCTTTCTCACACCCACATGCAGTGTATCAGCAAACCCTTAGGTTGTCCTGCCAGAATATACACCAATGCTGCCTCCCAGCCACTGTCCTCTCCTGCCTAGAGATCCCAGTGGCCTCCTGGCTGGTCTTCTGGCTTCCACTGGTGTCCTGCCCACCCTCAGGGGCTACAGGGCTTCTTCTGCAGCATAGGTCTTTTAAAAACCCTCCTGTAGTGTTTCATCGCATTCAGAATAAAGTCCGAAAGTTCCTACCATGGCTCAGAAGGCAAGCCCTACATGATCTCCCCTCGGTTCTCTCGGACTTTCTCCACGTCTCAGCCCCTTCTAGCAACAGCAGCCTCCCTGCTGCGGGGCACGCTCCATCTCAGTGATTTTGCACACGCTGTTCCCTCTGCCCTGATCCTTGTCACAGATACTCACAGGACTCCCCGTCTCACTCCTTCCGGGCTCTGCCCAGATGTTGTCTCGTGAGAGAGGCCTTCTTTGACTTGTTCATGTAATGGTCATAGCAATAGTAAAAGTAATAATAGAAACCTTTCTCTTTGTAGTACGTAGCATCTCTGAAAATACTTCGTACATGTTTTTAAAGTATCTGTTTTGTGCATCTTCTATGTGAATGCAGAATATGTCTCTATTTTGTTCACTGCAGTATCTCTAGACCCTAGAGCAGGTGGGCATATACTCGGTGCACACATAAGATTTGTCGAGTGCTTGAATGGTTAGCCAGTCAGGGATGATTCTTTATGCCACGTCTTGTCCGTCTTAGGTTTGTTTTACAATGAAGAAATTAAGTAGAAACCTGTTGTAGTTGGTCATAAAGGCCTGTATGGAGGCTCCCTTTCCCAGAAACACCATTGAGCATCACTACATCCTGGTCTTTTATATTCTTACTGTTTGGGGACACCCGGGTAGCTCAGTCAGTTGAATGTCCGACTTCGGCTCAAGTGGTGATCTCACGGTTCATGAGTTTGAGCCCCGCCTTGGGCTGTCTGCCGTCAGCACGGGACCCGCTTGGGATCCTCTGTTCCCCTCTCTCTGCCCCTCCCCTTGCTTGCCCTCTCTCTCGCCCTGTCAAAAATAAATCAACATTTTAAAAAATTCTTATTGTATGAATGCAACTGAAAATTGAAGCTTGTTTTATTTTGGAAATGGTAAGGGCAGTGAGGAAGATGATTATTCCTATCAGATTTTCTGAACGCTTACGTCACATCTCACAAGCTGCGCGTTTTCCATTTACAGACGCATGCCAAGCCTCCTGGAGTACTTAAGTTACAACTGTAACTTCATGGGCATCCTGGCAGGCCCGCTCTGCTCCTACAAAGACTACATTACTTTCATCGAAGGCAGATCGTACCACATGACACGGTCAGGCGAAAACGGAAAAGAAGAAATACAGAACGAGAGAGCAGAGCCATCTCCAAATGTAAGGTCATGAGGTTTATCTGGAGCCTTGATAGCTTGTATTGACTAATGTTGTTTGTTTAAAGATTCTACTGTTTTCAAGTTTTGAACTTACCCATCTATTTCTTTGAAAATATTTTTCTAAGATAAATGACCCTTCACGCTGTACCTAGTAATGATGCCCAGTAGAAGTACAGTCATGATCAAAGAACGAAATGAAGGTTACTTTACAAGCTATGCTGAGATCCTTAGTGAGAGTGATGCTTTATAGTTACGGGATATTTTCCAGGAGAGCCGTTTGTCTGGAACTGACGCAACCTAATTTTCTAGGCTCTTTCCTTACCTGTATGCCATGTTCCCCTAATTCCCCTTTTCTCCTCCCCTGCTTCCCTGTCCTCTTCCTGATCATCGCTAGTTGAAATCTTACTCCTCTTTAAAAGCCTACATCAAATACCACCTTTTCCGTAAAACTTTTCCTGATTCCCACAATAAAAAAGTTAATAATGGAGCATCTGGGTGGTTCATTCAGCTAAGCCTCTGACTCTTGATTTCAGCTCAGATCACGACCTCACGCTTTGTGAGTTTGAGCCCCAAGTCAGGCTCTGTGCTGACAGTGTGGAGCCTGCTTGGGATCCTCTCTCTCCCCTCTCTCTGTCACTCTCTCTCTCTCAAAATAGGTAAATAAACTTTTTAAAAGAGTTAATGGTAGCTGACACTTTGATAGCATTTCCCATGTGCCAAGTCCTGCCGTGGACACTTCACGGTTTGCTCTCTCAGCCCCCCCAGCACAAGGCAGGTGCTGTTACTCTCACCACTGAATGGACGAGGAAACCAGGCCCACATCATTTGACCACGATTGCCCAGGTTGGCTGTGGGAGAACTCGGGTTCAAACCCAGGCAGTCTGACTATGAAGTCCGTGCTAAATTGCTTCACAGCGGAGCATAAACTTTATTTCCTCTGAACTGCTGGGAATGATGCTCCTTTATCAAGAAGGGCTCTCAGGCTTTGTGCCAGCTGAGTTTCTGGATTTGATCTGGTAGAATCTTTTGTGGTTTTTAAAAAATTTTTTTTAATGTTTACTTTTTTTTTTTTTTTTTTTTTTTTTTTTTGAGAGATAGAGACAGCATGAGCAGGGGAGAGGCAGAGAGAGGGGGAGAAGACACAGAATCCGAAGCAGGCTCCACGCTCTGAGCTGTCGGCACAGAGCCCGATGTGGGGCTCAAACTCACAAACTGTGAGATCATGACCTGAGCCGAAGTTGGATACTTAACCGACTGAGCCACCCAGGCACCATTTTTGTCTTTATTAAAAGTGACTTCCTTTTTAATGTTGGTTTCAAAGAAAAGAATGACGTTATTATAACAAGAGGTAGGCAAACTAACTATGGCCCATGGGCCAAATGCACTCAGCTGCCTGTTTTTGTTTTGGTCCTAGAAAAAAATGTTTTTTTTAATGTTTATTTGGTTTTGAGAGAGAGAGACAGAGCACAAGCTGGGGAGAGGCAGAGAGAGAGGGAGACACAATCCTAAACAGGCTCCAGGCTCAGCTGTCAGCACAGAGCCCAACGTGGGCTCGAACCCATGAACCGTGAGCTCATGACCTGAACCAAAGTCGGACGCTTAACCGACTGAGCCCCCCAGGCGCCGCTGATCTGGTAGAATCTAAAAGTCCCATGAGAAATAGTCCAGTCAAAAAGTCTGAGACAAAAAGGGAGCCAGTATGATTTTTCTGAATGTGGGGCTTGGAGCAAAGGATCACCCTCCTTTGAGTTTCTGTAAACTGAAGCATGAATGAAGAAAAGCACACCCAGTCTCAGCTGGAACCAAAAGGTGCCTTTGTCTTCCCACTTTCTATTACTGGTTACATATTAATTGATAAACGTTGTATCAAGCGGGATCGAATTTCAGGCTTGACTTGGAGTACATTCAGATCTCTTCCATTGATTGTTTGGTGTCTCCAGGCTGACCACTTGACCCTTTAGCAGTCTCATTGCCATCAGAGAAAGGAAGGATAATTATAGATAGCTCTGATATTCCAGAATCTTACCCTGGAGTACTAGAAAGAGTATTCAAAGCTATGATTCAAGATACTGGACATAATGTTACATAATACTAGAAAAATTTCAAGCGCTTCAAACATGTGAGTAGTAGTAAATCACACCCAACAAAGAATAATACAAATGTATTCATTCCTTCTGTCACCTCACTCTGAATTTTTATGGGATACACTCTCAGAAAATGTCACTTTCCTTTTTTGGGTTATAGACATCATAAACCAGAGGTTGTTGGCAATGGCAAACACTCGTAATGTATGATCTCACTGTCTTAATGTATTTGGAATTGAAATTCCAGAGGCATAAAATTTACACAGTCGGAGGTGGTAGTGATTTACAGATCACTCAAAGGTATTTGGAAGCTCTCTGTGCATCAGTGGCGTGGGTAGACTCTTGGGATCCAAAGTAGGGCGGTCAGGTAGCCAGTGGCCCTTTTGTTGGGGACCTCCCAGCTGTCTTTATCTAGGTAAGATACGGGTTTGGGTACTAAAACAAGGGCCAAGATAACAGCAGCTTAAAAAGGTAGGACATCTGGTGTCAGTGGTCTGTGGATAATGTGGAGGCCCTGGGGGTGGGGGATCTAAGCTCTCCCCTGTGCTTGCCATCCTTGGGGTGTTGCCCTCATTTACACGGTTTAAGCTGGCTCACCGCAGGAGCTGTCCACGTTATTTGTGCCGCCGTCACGTGGACCTCGTGGCTACACTCAGCTGCGAAGCGGACTGTGCTGTGTGGTCTTCAGCTAGAGTTCAGTGCCCCCAAGTAAACATTCCATCGTTGTGCAAGAAGGGGAGGGTGGCTTCCGGGGAGCACCTGTCTGCCTCCGCCATGACGTCTGTAGGACTTTTCTCTGAGGCTGCTTAGTTTCTTAGTGAAGGATCCTCCAGCCTTCTGCAGTCTCACGAGGTAGATACAAAGTTGACTGCTGGTTTCTGGAGCTGGCCCGGTCAAGGGGGCTGAGGATTTCACCTCTCAGGATGCAGACTTCCTCCAGAGTCTCTACATTTCCATCCCAGCACTTACCCCGCCCCCCACCCTGGACCTGTGCCCCTAAGCCTGATCTTCTCTGGCTCAGCTTCTCTGAGAGCTAACGTCTGGCCCCCCTGCTGGAATGGTGGAAGGTGCCACCTTATTGAGCAGGAGACTCTGACACCCAGGGCCTGTACCCGGCTTCCCAGGCCCCCACCCCCGCCTCCCCGGGTCCCTGATCTCGCTTTGCCTCAGCCTTTTTGGGGAGTCTCATGGGCGAGTGTGCCTACCGCTGGTTGCGATCAGATGTGTGCTACTTGAAGCTTTGTTTTGAGACTGAGACCTGGAAACTTGCACACGTAGTCGGAAGGCCGCAGCCTTTCTCACTGTGTCCCTGAGATGACGCACCCACTTTTTAGGTTAATGTGTCAGGCCATTTTCTCCAGCTCACCTCATTTGTAATTATAATTTCTCTCTAATTACCTGCTTTAAATCTCTTCTCAAATGTATAGGTTAGATATTTTGGGAAGAGGTGAAGAAAAGGTAGCCTTTTCCGTACTGGAGGAGGCTTTCAAAGACATGGAGGAAATAAGAATACGAGCTGCAGCGAGGAGCCCTTGACCACTCAGCCCCTCCTCGCAAGGCCAGCCCCAGAACAAATAACGCTCTTCCAGCAGTGCAGTGAGCCGGGCATGTGCTTTGACTCCTGCCTCTGAGCCGTTTCTTTTGGCCGTGTTACAGAAAGTGTTCACGTATGAACGTTCATTTGCAGGTTAGTTAATTTGAATATTATTAGGTTGCTGAGCAGGACACTCAAAATGCAAGTATTTTGTTACCTCCCATGACCCGGATACAGCCAGCCATTCCTTTCCTCCACCTGCTTCCCTCCCTCGGCAGGGGCCGTCACCTCCCTTACACCGAGTCGGATGGAAATATTCCGGCCTAGTAATGATCCAAAAACACCACGAGTTGGGTTCTCTTACGGTGATTTCGCCTTTCCAGGATACAGTAAAGAATGGCTTTTTTTTTTTCTTTCTTTTCCCCATCAGAGTCTTCTGTGCAGATGTTTTTTGTTTTCTCGGGCGTGTGGTTCTTTTTGTTTTGTGAACAAAATTGCATCCAAGAACTTTCAGATTTAAAGAGATGTATGAGTTGTTTGTTGCAAAAATAATGTTCATGAGATGCGTAGCGTTTGGGAAATACAGGGTAAAAGCACAATGGAGTAATCAACTGCGTATGAGTGTGTATATTAAATGTACAATCCAGGGGCGCCTGGGTGGCGCAGTCGGTTAAGCGTCCAACTTCAGCCAGGTCACGATCTCGCGGTCCGTGAGTTCGAGCCCCGCGTCGGGCTCTGGGCTGACAGCTCAGAGCCTGAAGCCTGTTTCCGATTCTGTGTCTCCCTCTCTCTCTGCCCCTCCCCCGTTCCTGCTCTGTCTCTCTCTGTCCCAAAAATAAATAAACGTTGAAAAAAAAAATTTTTAAATGTACAATCCACCACCAACAGTTTTTAACGTGACTATTTTCATGCACTCACACCTACGCGCCTGTGTTTGCTTTCAGATTTTTCTTTTTAACCGAAAGTTTTGAAAATACAAATTGATATTTCTAGTGATTTGAGCCATACTCCGGAGGCGTTAGTTGGAGAGAAGGCTGGAAACGGTCCTACTGTGAGACCATGAAGGCTTCAAATGCCAAGCACAGCGTAGCTGATGATTTTTCACCGGGAAAGTTCTAGAATTAATGCTGCATTTGGGAAGATGAATCCAGCAGTAGTGGGTAGAACGAATGAAAAGGGAAATGGATTAAGTTTATGAAGTCTTGTCTGGTTCTGTCAGGTTGCAGTTATTCAGAAGCTCTTAGTCTGTGGACTTTCCTTACTATTTCACTTGACCATCTCTAACACCTTACCTGTGGAGTATAACATCGATGAGAATTTTCAAGCTACCGCTTCATGGCCAACAAAAGTCATCTATCTTTACGTCTCTCTTCTGGCTGCCCGACCCAAATACTATTTTGCTTGGACATTAGGTAAGTGACACGTGGTAGACCTCACCGTTCATGTGCTGAAGTGTATCTTACCCAGTGGCTAGCCAGCAGAGTGCCCTCTTGAGGAGATGCAGTTAAAGACCAATTAGGAACATTAGTCATCTATTAGAAGACACAAACCTTGCAGCTCGTATCCTAAATACAAGGATACATCCTACAAACTGTTAGGATGGCCTAAAAACTGGCTCAAGGCCCATTTTATTATAATATCAGATAAAAATGAGGATAAATCTACTTTTACTGTTTAAGAATAAAAGATCCTAGGGGCGCCTGGGTGGCGCAGTCGGTTAAGCGTCCGACTTCAGCCAGGTCACGATCTCGCGGTCCGTGAGTTCGAGCCCCGCGTCGGGCTCTGGGCTGATGGCTCGGAGCCTGGAGCCTGTTTCCGATTCTCTGTCTCCGTCTCTCTCTGCCCCTCCCCCATTCATGCTCTGTCTCTCTCTGTCCCAAAAAATAAATAAATGTTGGAAAAAAAAAAAATTAAAAAAAAAAAAAAAAAAAGAATAAAAGATCCTAGTATGTGATAAACATGTACCTTCTGAGAGAACGTGGTAGATTGTTACATAGGTTTTTCATACCTTCTTTTTCACTTTGTTTATTGCAGCGGATGCTATTAATAATGCTGCGGGCTTTGGTTTCAGAGGATATGATGAAAATGGAACGGCTCGTTGGGACTTAATTTCCAACTTGAGAATTCAGCAAATAGAGGTTAGTAAATCATTAACAAGTCAGTTACCCTATGATACTTTACGTACCCCACTTTGCTTTTACAGGTCATGACGCGATGTCCCAAGAGTGATGTTGAAGGCTTTTTAACAATAATAACTTATTTTTCCATTCAACCAATATTTGTGGGTTGTCAATCATGTGCCCCAGGCCCTGGGGATCTAGCGGGTAAGATTGGTGTGACCTGGGCCCTTCGATCGTGGGGCTTTAATCTAGTGGGTGCTACAGAAGGGTAGATTGGGGTCAGAGGGATATAGGGTGTGTGGGGGCTACAAGATAAGGTCCAACTCAGATGAGGTAGCTCAGGGAGGGGTCCTGAAGGAAATAGTCTTAAGCTGAGTCCTAAATGATAAGGAGGAGGTTGCCAGGCACTCCAAGTAGAGGGTGATCAACCTGAGAAAGGATTTGTGGCTCATGTTGGGTCATAACAGAGGGAGTAGTGACTGGAGACTGGAGACACAGAAGCCAAGCCGAGATACTTTCAGAGGCCGTATTAAGAGTTTTGAGCTCTCCTAAGAGCGATGGAGTGTGGTGGATGGGTTTTATGCAAGTGAGGTGGTCACAGCTGTGGTTTAGAAGGGTCTGGCTATGTTAGGTAGAATGAGTTGCCCTCGTGGAACAGAGTGGTCTGTTAGGAGGGTGTTGTGTTAATCCAAGGTGATGGTGACCTAGAGTAGGGACAGTGGGGCCGGAAAGACATAAGCACCTTGGAGCACTGAGATTCAGCAGAACCCGGTGATGTGCTGGCATCAGCAAGAGAGAATGAGTTATAAATTGGGACCAGATATCTGGCTTAAACCAGTTTTATGGCGATGCCTTTCCCTGGGAGAAGGAACAAAGAACAGGTACAGGTTTGAAGGGGAAGAGACTGTGTGTTCAGATTTCAGACTTAACTAAGTTGTCCGGCAGACAAACCAATGATCAGACACTAGCTGCAACATCTGAGCTGGAGATCCTAATTGGGGAACTAGAAGCGTGTAGCATTTCAGGTTTTGGGGGGAAACCACGAGAGTAGCCATGAGAGAGCAGCGAGAGACCGAGAAGGGATGTGAACCCCCAAGGAGCACCTGTGCCCTTGGCTGGACAGAGGAAGGCAGGTCAGGAGAAGGAGCCAGAGAAAGGAGAGGAAAAGCAAAAGTAGACGTTGCTTTGCAAGCCTGAGAGAATTATTCCAGCAGTGGCAATTACCAAAACCTAAGGTGAAAAGTTGACTGACAACTTGATAGTGAATGGGTCAGGCTGGACCTGCCGCTGAGCCTTACCGTCACTGAACGTTCTTCACAAAAAGTGGGACAGTCAGTCATTAAGCGCCTGTGGAGGTGATGCCATAGGAAACACAGCACCGTCTTTCAAGTACTTTGCCAATACAGTTCAACGTGGTTAGGTCTCTAGATCTTTCTAAATGTAGTTTAGAAAGTATAGAGAAGTAAGTTAAACGCTGGATCCAGAAGCGGGAAATCTACAGGACAAAGGACCCAATTTCCCCCCACAAGTAAATGCCACAGAAGATTGAGGGTAGGGAGGGGCCGCTACAGATTCAGAGAGCAGAGCCAAACACATCATTGCACACTTGTTTGCACCCTCTGAAAAGACCAACTGGAAAACCATGTTTTTAAACATTCGGGATATTTGGCCACAAAATGAGCATTAAATGATATTAAGGAGTTAATACTTAGTTTTGTTAGGTCCGATCTTGGTTTTTTGAAAGTCCAGTAAATTCTGAACTATGTACAGGTGAAATAAGATGTCTGATACTTGCCTTGAAATTTTCCTACGTTGTCAGTAATGAAAATGGGGAAGGGGAAGGAAAAGCGTAAAGTGTGGAAATTGAGTGATGAATGTATGTATGGCAGTGTTTCTAACTTTCTGTTCATTATCGCCACCCTGAGGAGGTTTTGAGACATGTGTCACCTCATCAACCCCCCCCCCCCGTGAACTTTAATACTGCATACACGTATGTCCGTTTATATATCATGTATATACACATATGCTTTTATACATAAAACGAGTAAGCCTTTTTTGCCCCCAAGAACCAGTTTTCATCCTCTTGGGGGCAATATCGCCCTTGGTGAGAATGCATGGTCTAAGAAAAAGTAAAGAAGGGGCCGCCTGGATGGCTCAGTCGGTTAAGCATCCGACTTAGGCTCAGGTCGTGATCTTGTGGTTCTTGAGTTCAGAGCCCCACATCGGGCTCTCTGCTGTCAGCGCAAAGTCCACCTCAGATCCTCTCTCTCCCTCTCTCTGCCCCTCCCTTGTTGTGCTCTCTCTCTCTTTCTCTCAGAAATAAATAAACATTAAAAAAGATTTTTTTAGAGAAAAAATAACGAAGAAGGAGCTAGTTTCCTGAAGGAGGGGAGGGTGATCAGGGTTGGATGCGACTGAGATACGGGCAGTAAGAGCAGGACTCAAATGCCAGCAGCTGTAACACCTGGGGGTTGAGTGATGATTTTGGTAATGGTTTCATGGGAGGGATAAGCTATAGAAGCCAGATGATACAACTCTTAGGCATTTATTACCTGTACAAGGAAGGAGGGTAGAGATAAGGCCATAGCTGAGGGGAACAGGTGAAGGCGAGAGTTTTGTTTAATTTGTTTTAAAACGGAGAGATTGAGGGGTGCCTGGGTGGCTTAGTCAGTTAAGTGTCTTGACTCTTGGTTTTGGCTCAGGTCCTGATCCTATGGTTCATGGGATCAAGCCCTGCATTGGGCTCCAGGCTGAGTGTGGAGCCTGCTTGGGATTTTTCTCTGTCTCTTTCTGCCCCTCCCATGCTCGCATGTGGGCTTGTGTGCACGTGCATGTGCACTCTCTCAAATAAAAAAAAAAAAAGTATGGATTTAAGACAAGTCTCAAGTGTTATATGATATTCTGCACTTGGATTCAGAGGTTATAAGTAGAGAAGACGGAAAGTACGGTTGATCTGGGACTCGGAGTTTGATAAGCAGATGAATTAAAAGGAAGAAGAAACAAACGCATCAAGAATTTTGATGAGCGTAATAAATACTGCACCAGTCTAAATGGTGAGAAGGAAGTGAAGACATAGGAGGAGACACTTGCTTAGGGAAGAAGTAGAGATGGGAGACCAGACCTCCTTCTGAGGTCAAGGGGGAAGCTTTTATTGGGAGAAGCTCGAGTGGAGAGGCTGGGAACGTGGATAGATGGCAGTAGTTCGGGTGAGGCCAAGGTTCCAAGCAGCCACAAATGGTGGCTGAAGAGGCGTGGGGGTGACGGAATGGAGAGGCTGTGGCTCGATGGGACGTCCAGTCCCCAGTGAAAGCGTCATGGAAGGGTCATGGAAAGGTCATTTACATATCAGGAATGTCTTTGGGATAATTCCAGGACAACGCCTGTAGATGTTAACATATAGGAGAAAATGGGATCATCTCGTAGATGTCCTCTCTGAGAAGCAAGTTTTTTATTTATACAAGCACATTACTGTATTAGAAAAGCAAATATTAAGGAAATAAATCAGTATACCGTCAGCATCAAGTACTTGATTTTTAGCACAACAACATGTTATTGCTTGTATCTAAACCTTCATTATTTTGTTGGCCAAAGAAAAAGGTTCTTTTGTTTTTCAGATGTCAACAAGTTTCAAGATGTTTCTTGATAATTGGAATATTCAGACAGCTCTTTGGCTCAAAAGGTATGTTCCTTCAAGAACAGTCTTTAGCTGTGCTATGGTGTCTAATACTTGAGGTTGAGTTTCACTGAGTTCAGATTCTTGATTCAATAACAGTGTGTTGAGTGACACTGACCTTGGTGTTAACCAGGAAATACTGTTAATGTCTTCCAACGCAAGAGTCTATCGAATCTGAGAACTGTGTTGGCCTGAGTGGTGAATGTTTCTATCCCGGGCTTCTCAGTCCGCCTTCCCAGGCATCTTTCTGAGATCGCCAGTGTCCTCCTACTCTCATTGGTTGGAGATTTGGTTAAATAAAACAGAGTAACTGTACAACCACTGTCCAGATGCCCTAGATTGTCCACAGCAGTTCCAGTTGCAAACATATTTCAATTTGACAGATCTTTCTGTATGTTAGGCACAGGATATAACGATGAGTAAGACAGAAAGACCCAACCTCTGCAGTCAAAGAATTCACGATCTTGTTAAAAACACAGCAGCGTCACCTGCGCGTTCCCTGTAGCCCTGTAGCGAGGAAGAGCGGAGAGAGAGAGAGCAGGAGCGGCGAGGCACAGGGGGAGAGGAAGTGCTGGTGCCAGGATCCGTGACGAGGAATTCGTCACACGGCCGAGGGGGAGCCACAGGCAGCCCGAGTGGGGCAACATTTGTAAAAGATGAAGTTAGGGAGTTGTACAGAAAGTCCCAGGGACTCTGTCTCCTTGTTCCCAGTGAGATACGTTGCTGTATCTCGAGTTTATTTTATGAAACGTTATGGCTCTAAGCACTGTGTAAAGCAGCCTTTTTTGGGAGTGTCCTTTATTTCATGGCAAGTTGCATATCTTTCTGCCTTGAGATACCCACCATATGACATTGTCGCTTTGTGGTACATTGCAGTCTCCCCAGTGGCTACATATTTTCTGAACTAATCTGTGTGTGGTTGTTGTTGTTGTATTTTATTTTATTATTTTTTAAAATGTTTATTTCTTTATTTTTGAGAGAGAGAAACAGAGCATTAAGTGGGGGAGGGGCAGAGAGGGAGCCCAGAATCTGAAACAGGCTCCTGGCTCAGAGCTGTCAGCACAGAGCCTGATGCGGGGCTTGAACCACAAACCATGAGATCATGACCATGAGATCATGACGAAGTCGGAGGCTTAACTGACTGAGCCACCCAGGCACCCCTTTGTTGTATTTTAAATTTGATAACTTTTGGGGGCACCTGGCTTGCTCAGTCAATGGAGCATGTGACTCTTGATCTCACGGTCGTGAGTTCAAGCCCCGCATCGGGAGTAGAGATTACTTACTTACTAAATAAATAAATAAATAAATAAGACACCTTTAGAAAGTCTTACTTTCATTTGAGTTCTCTACCATGTTACAGGGAAATTTTAGACTAAGCACATTGAAGTTTTTTGGTAAATAGTATAGATTTCTTTACATGTACCATAAAAAGATGAAAATCAAATTTGTTTTCCTAGATCAATAGGAATATCTAATAGCCTTCACCTCCCTGAGGTCACAGGTCAAGTTGTGGCCGACGCTAAGTTGCGGTTGTTTTCTTGGTTGCCCTGGGCCATGTCGGCTGAGAAAAGAATGATCGCTGTGGGCTGTGTGAACTCTAACCACTCAGTGTGGTGTTCATGGTTTCCAGGGTGTGTTACGAACGAGCCTCCTTGAGTCCAACCATCCAGACGTTCGTTCTGTCCGCCATCTGGCACGGGGTTTACCCGGGGTATTACCTGACGTTTCTCACGGGAGTGGTGATGACACTGGCAGCACGAGCCGTGAGTATCTAGAACCCCACGTCGTCCTCGAGGGGGAGTCCACGTGAGTGGGAGGAGGAGGCCGAGCTCACCCTCTCCCCTAAGGCCTCATTCGTGTGGCCGCAGATGGAGCCGTGCTCTGGTTAGAAGCGAGGGGGGTGCCTGCCGTGTTTGTCCAGCGCTCCTGCGGGAGGGACCTGCACAGCGTTGGTTGTCTTTACGCGGTTTTCTGAACGAGAGCTAAAACCTGTGTTAAATAAAGATGGGTTCATTTCACAAACGTTTCCCGAGAGCTGTCCCCGATGAATCCTCCTTTAGGTGAGGAGGGGAGCACGAAGACCATGGACAGAGCCGGTGGGCCATCCCCGGGTGGCGGGTGCCAACGTTAGAGACAGGACACAGTTCTTTAGAGTGTTGGCTTGGTTGGAACCTGGAGTCATACTTCGGGAAACAGTTGAGAAATCAGGTTGGTGACATGGGTGGGCAAGGAAGGACAGTTCAGTGTGAGTCCTTGAAAGTGACGTGACCAAAACAGTGCTCGAACAGGCTTCTCCCAGCACGTACAGGTGAGGAGGCCTCATTTAACAAACTAGCAGAGATTTAGTCAGTTTTCAGGTCAATTTTCAGGTGGGGGTACATATGTGCATATGTACAGCACGAGGCATATATGATAGATCCCGTGGGCTTTATAGATAGTAAGTAACATAGTTGTTTAGAGGTGAAAGAAATCCCTTTTGGCTGGGTTGACCAGAGGTGGCCTCATTAGGGAAGCGTGGTTGGATTAGGGCTTTGGAAGATGAAGGTCGTTTTAAATTTTTTTTTTTTTTTTAACGTTTATTTATTTTTTGGGGACAGAGAGAGACAGAGCATGAACGGGGGAGGGGCAGAGAGAGAGGGAGACACAGAATCAGAAACAGGCTCCAGGCTCTGAGCCATCAGCCCAGAGCCTGATGCGGGGCTCGAACTCTCGGGGACCGCGAGATCGTGACCTGGCTGAAGTCGGACGCTCAACCGACTGCGCCACCCAGGCGCCCCTATGAAGGTCGTTTTAAAAGTGAGCCAAGTTTGGTGGGGGTAGAACATGACACGGTAGGCCAGGAGATGACATTCTCGAAACCAAGTTTGGAAGTGCCAGTGTGTTTGGAAACGAAAAGTAAACCTGGTTGAAGCAGAGACTTTGTGAATCCCTAAACGGTGGATAATTCTGGAAGGGGAAAGGAGTGCAGGGGGCGGAGGGAGGAGGGCATAATAGAAGGACTTGAGAGACGAGGAGAGGGCCCAGCCCTCATGCCGCCTGCAGCCCGGGGAGTCCGGGAGGGAGATGACCGGTGGAAAGCCGTGCTTCAGGAGAGTGGATTTGCCCCTGGTGGTCGGGGGCGGGGAGGGTGGGTAGGTGCTGCACGGGGAACCAGGCAACGTGGTCGGTGTCGGGGCTCGTTCTGGCCACTGCGAATGATGGTCTCGCTGTAGGGAGAGCCGTTAACCACACACCAGGTCACTTCTGAGAAACTCGGTGGTATCCTCACGGGGCCGTGTTTCACCTCTGAACATATGAGACAAGAAAAGCAGGGAAGATGATCGTAGGAAAGAGGAAATGATGTTTGGTTAAGTTTGCACATTTCAAAACTGAAATGTTTTGACTTTTTTGGAAGCTAAAAAAAATGTTTGAATAGTGGTTATTAGGAAACACCTATTTTGAGAATGTGTGTCGTTGCCATTTATTCTAAGTGTGTTTGGCCTGAGCTCAGTGTATGATCTTCACTTGTATTTCACAAACCCAGGGCTTCAAGAAGAGGAAGGATGTCTCATTAAGTCATAGTAGGAAACATTGAAAACAGACAGAACTTTATTTATATACTATACCAAATATGATTTAAAGAGCTCTAGGCAGTGTTATTTTTAACTTTGGGGGAAATTAAAAAAAAATTTTTTTTTAACGTTTATTCATTTCATCTTTTTGAGAGACAGAGAACGTGAGTGGGGGAGGGGCAGAGAGCGAGGGAGACACAGAATCTGAAGCAGACCCCAGTCTCTGAGCTGTCAGCATGGAGCCCGATGCGGGGCTCGAACTCACGGACCGCGAGATCATGACCTGAGCCGAAGTGGGCCGCTTAACCGACGGAGCCACCCAGGTGCCCCGGGAAACTTTTAATTTTAATACAACTTCAAATCTCCAGAAGAGTGGCAAAGAACTCCTACATGCCTTTTACCCACACTCCCACATTTTGCTCTCTCCATATTTTTCACAGATACATGTATTCGTTTTTGCCAAACCAACTTTTCCCGTAATGGCAGCACCACCTTAGACTTGCACCAGCAACGCGTGAGAATGTCAGCCACTGCACGTTCTTGAAGCAGTGGATGTAGTCAGTGTGATTCTGTAGCAACATTGAAGATAAAGCACATATTTTTGTTTCTTTATTTCAGATGAGAAATAACTTTAGACATTATTTCATCAAACCTCCCCAGCTTAAATTATTGTATGATGTTATAACGTGGATAGTGACTCAAATAGCAATAAGTTACACAGTTGTGCCATTTGTACTTCTATCTGTAAAACCGTCATTCATGTTTTACAGGTAAGTGTCACTCTTAAAAATATACCAGTGGGAATAACTTTATTATTATTATTATTATTATTATTATTATTTTAATGCTTATTTATTATTGAGAGACAGAGACAGAGCATGAGCAGGGGAGGGGCACAGAGAGGAGGAGACGCAGAATCCGAAGCAGGCTCCAGGCTCCGAGCTGTCAGCACAGAGCCCGACGCGGGGCTGGAACTCACAAACCGCGAGATCATGACCTGAGCCAAAGTCAGACTCGGCTTAACCGACTGGGCCACCCAGGCGCCCAGGAATAACTTTATTTTTAAGAGCAAGCTCTTTGCTATTGGGTAGTGTAAAAAAAAAAACATGCCCTAGCCTTACTTTCTGTAGTTAACTTTTTCATCTTAAACCAAGCAGTCCCAAGATTTTTATGGAATGATTCACACCACTTAACCCTCACACGAATATGACTTAAGACATGTGCCAGCTGGGCAGCCGCTGCCTCAGGTCTCGCAGAGGTTTAACTAGAAAATGTAGCTGTTCTTTTTACACCTGGATGGTAACTGGACTCACCGTGGGAATCCTTTCACGATGTGTGCATGTATCGAATCATCATGTTGCACACCTGAGGCTACTGTAACGTATTAGGTCAGTTGTACCTCACTTAACCAAATAAAAGAAGCAGCATCCGGCTAGATGTGGCCCGTGGGCTGGAGTTTGCTCACCCCTGCCCTGGGGTCAAGGGCTAGGAGTTTATAAGCTGGAGCAAAGGCTTTTGTGTCTCTCGGGATATTCTGGGAGTGGAAGCAAAATAATATCTTCCAGATAATCACGAGTAAGTATTGGTTGAGTCTGTGCACCAAGAGTTCGGGTTGTCAGACTGTTAACTCCAAAAAGGAGAGGATAGGCGAACTTGAAATAAGATGAACAATCAAAAATAGGACAGAGCAGTTTTAAAATGTAGTTTGTTCTTAACAAGGGATTGTTAACCCTTTTCATTGCTTTAGTCAAAGGGAAATAGATTACTTGTATTTCATGAATTTGTTCCCTTCTTACTCTTTTATGTTTCACGGGTACTTTGTCTTCTCTGTATTATGGAAACTCTTGTCTTAAATTCCATGTTTTTTTATTTTTTATTTTTTATTTAAAAAAAAAATTTTTTTTTCAACGTTTATTTATTTTTGGGACAGAGAGAGACAGAGCATGAACGGGGGAGGGGCAGAGAGAGAGGGAGACACAGAATCAGAAACAGGCTCCAGGCTCTGAGCCATCAGCCCAGAGCCCGACGCGGGGCTCGAACTCACGGACCGCGAGATCGTGACCTGGCTGAAGTCGGACACTTAACCGACTGTGCCACCCAGGCGCCCCTAAATTCCATGTTTTATCTCTTTATTGTCTCCCTCACCCACCAAATTCCGCTCTCGCTGTGTCAGCGAGATCTTTGAGATCAGACACTTCATCTTTCATAAAGTCCTCATTACCCCAGTGTTTAGAAACGGCAACACAGAACGCGTGGTCAAAAATTGTTGAATGGAATATGGCGACACATACGGACAGACATTAAGGAACTCCACTAAAATGTCCCCTTTTCACAGAATGATTACTTGTTTTTGAATGTGATCGAGCTGTTGGTTAGATTTTCTATCCCAGGTACTTTGTTCATGATCACTTGAACTTACAGCTAAAAAAGTGGCCTCGGTCGCACTTGATTTATACTTAATTTCTGGAATAATACCTCTAATAATATTCTTAATAATGTGACTTTCCTTTATTATATGACAGTGACCATCAAGAGGCAGTATTATCTATTACTCACATCACTGGAATATTTGTAACTTAATCAGGGGCCGTAAACAGCAGAGGAGGCCAGAGCATTTAAGGTCTTTATTATCTCTGCCTTCCCTTTGTTCACTCAGTGTTCGATTCTGTGGATTTGCGAGATTATTCTTAGGTCGCTGCAGCTGCTAATAAGTACCTTTTTGTTTTTGCTCTGTGTAGCCATGGACTTATGACCCTTACAGAGGAATGTGATGTGATACCTAGTGTCATGCTCCGAAGCGGTCTGGGCTTATATGCTGCTTTCTAAAAACTCACTAGCATACGCCTTAGAGCTGCATCTCATGGGGCAGGGGTGGGACAGGAATGCAAGAGATGTGGTGAATGCACACATCCTGAGTGGGGCCTGGGACATTTTGACGAGTGTGCAGTTGCTAAGCATCCGTGATCAAAATCTAATAAAGTAAATTCTGTTTTTTTTCTTCTAGCTCCTGGTATTACGGCCTGCACATTGCTGGTATCTTAGTATTATTGTTGTTGCCGGTGAAAAAAACTCAAAGAGGAAAGAATACACAGGAAAATGTTCAGCTGGCACGATCCAAAAAGTTTGATGAAAGAGAAAATTCCTTGGGACAGAATAGTTTTTCCACAACAAACAATGTTTGCAATCAGAATCAAGAAATAGCCTCTAGACATTCATCATTAAAACAGTGAAGGGGAAAATATGCTGACGGCTATTTTTTCTATGTTAACAGAAACCACTCTTAGCACCTTTCAAGGGATTTGTGTTTGTTTGAAAAGAGATTAAGTGGGGGGACATCTGACAGATCTAGGTAGGGAATTTCCTGTATAGCAGATTGGAAACGGAGTGAATAACCCCTCCCAGGCCATGTCCCTGTGGGCCACGCCTTATATAAAAATATTTCCATTATTTCAATGGGCACTCAGGACCTCAGCATATGTCCACACGGTCATATGTGTGCCCTGTTGCTGAATGTATGTTGCGTATCCCAAGGCACCGAAGAGGTGGACAGGTAATTGTGTCAATCTGGATGATTGAGAGAAATTAACTTTTCCAAATGAATGTCTTGCCTTAAACCCTCTATTTCCTGAAATATCGTTCCTAAATGGTATTTTCAAGTGTAATATTGTGAGAACACTGTTTCAATATTTGATGTTATATGCTGTAAAGGAATTCTGGAGGAATTTTGAAACAGGATATTTAAGATGTGGATACTTTAAAAATGCAATAAACATCTCAGTATTGGAAGGGTTTTCTTAAAGTATCTCAGATGACTACAGTATGTAGCGAAACCGCAAACAGGACCGGATGCCAAATTATACGTAGCTTATTTTCCTGGAGAATTTAATTACTTTGTGTCAGTCAGAGCCCGTCAAGGAAGAATTTCTTCAACACAATTAAAGGTGGGTAATGGGATATTTTAAGTTTATTTTCTTAAAAAAAAAAAAAAAGGCAAGAGAAGATGACAAGGGAAGGAAGGAAGGCATGAATGAAGGAGGCCCCACGAGGACTGGCGTAGAGCCTGCTGGGATGGGGCACAGGTGCACCGTGTAGGTACCACGTGCTCCGCAGACGTGCTTTTCACCTTTACTTATCTGAGTTCTTTGTGATTATGTAAGACATCGAAATGTAATAACTTTTTAATGTGGTGGACTTTGAAATGAAATTTATCAAGCATAAATTATATAGGATTGTTAGAGGGATCCTGAAAACAATAGTGGTGGATTGTGTGAGGGTTATGGAAGAGAAATCACTGAGTAAGGTGACTGTCTAGTCACTTTCTTATCCTTAACAGCTTACTTCCTATTTGGGAAAGTTTTAGGGAGATGAAAGCTTAAAGTTGTGGGGTCTGGCCCACATTTTTAGAAAATAAAATAAATCAGTTTCCAGACTCTTAAATTCTTACATTAAAATGTTGCTCTTCGCTCTTTTTAATGAGTTTTAGGTTCTGTAAGTAGAAGAGTATGCTTTTATCTTACAGGCCATTTTCCCCATAATTGATCTCACCTTGAATTACTAGATGTCTCCTTTAATGCCACAGTCTGGTGACGGGCGTGGTAAGCTGAAAGCAGAGGAGGGGACTGCGAGACCATCCTGGAGTGTAGGGCTTCGGCTACAGATAGTGAATCACGGGATCATGGGGTTTGAGAGAAGAGCAGGGGACACGGGCCTTCTGACTTCACCTTTATTTGACCAGTCTTTGATTTGACTTCACCTTTATTTGGCCAGTTCATTTCCTTTCTGCCTTACATTTTTAATGCAATGCAAATTGGTTAGGTGTGGTGTGTGTTTTATTTTTGTCGTTAGTAAGTTTGTAAGTGAAGTTAAAGCAGAACCCCTATCTGGCTTGAGCTGCGCAGTATTTCATTTAAAGAGAAACAGCAAGCGTCCTTGGAACTGGTGAGGTCTCAGTCAGCAAAAACATCAGCGTATCTTTTTAGAACTTTAGAAATATCCTGGTCTTTGTTTATAGCAAATGTGGTTGTTTTTCTAAAGGTAAGATTTTTCCACCTGCTGAGGTCAGCCATACCCTGCTACTTACTTCCCAGGAAAGGACAGATAGCTAAATAAATTTTCTCTGTTTTCCCATGCATTGAAATTAAGCTAGCTGTGTCACGTGAGACGATGGAAAAGAATAATCATGGAAAATATCTGCCCCCGAAAGGTCTCCTTAGTTTAATTACTGCTGCAGAGAATCTGATCACTATTTTTCAAAAGTAAACAAATTCAGGGTTTAAAGGACAAGTCTAGGCATGTCATAAATGAAAATAAGAGAGCTTAATAAAACTTTTTTTCAGCCCACCTCCAGCCATTAATAAATAATAACTGTTTATTTTTATCACCTATGTCATTTCTCTGCCTGTAAACCTAAAATCATTGTTACCTGTTTCTTGTTCAATGAATGTCCTCATGGTGTTGCCATCCAGGAAGCAAGATGATTGAATACTTTTCCAATTACTTTGAAGATGATACATTATCTATACAGATTGACTGATTTTCATCCCTTTGGATCAACTAGTTTTTTGGTTTTTGTATGAAATGGTTTTAGGATAGCTTTTCTCTAATTTTGTAGAAATTCTCATAAGTATGTAATCTAGAAAAACTAAAGAAATCTAATTCTCGACTTTTCTTCTCAAGAAGAAACACTTTGTGCTGTGTGAAATGACTGTATCTACTTGGAGTGTTGTAAGGATTAATACTTCTACTTGAAGTGGAAACTGGTATATCTCTACTACTGTTAAGTATAAAGGGATTCATTGTACTATGTGCTTGCTTCTTTTTTAATCAACACAGTAAGATTCAGTCCATATTTATATTATTTCTCCACTCTTCAGTTGTCATGAAACTACTCCAGAGATGATCGGTGAACATCATTATTATACTACTCAGGGAAAAAAAAAAAAAGGGGAACAAAAACATTATTCTTCCCTCAATTTCATTTTCTTGAAACAGTAACAGTTAATTTGATGTATCTCAGTGATCACCATTTTACAAGTAGCTTACTCTCAGTTTTAAAAATGAGCATTTTTATTGGAACTCAGGGTAATTGGAGAAATGTATGCAGCTTCTAAAACATCCAGCATAGTAGAGAAGGTTTTCTTTGGCTTCAACAATGTCCAGCCACCACTTTCGCCACCACCATACTTTTGGTTAAGAAGTGTTTGTGTTATTGACCCCTGCCGTGTGTGACAGGCATATGCAGGATTTCCATAGATAACAGTTTTCAGGAAACTTTGCAGTACAAAGAGTGGTTCTTTTTTAAAGAGTGAAGGTAACGCACATGGAAACACTGATTGTCCTGGGAGATCTGTTCATCTGGCTCTGTTATTAAGGAACCTTAGGATCTGGGCAAGTTGCCTGTCCTCTGGATCAGAGTTTCTTAATAAGAAATTAAAGGATCAGTTCTAAAAGTTTATGACCAGTCGATTTGTAATGAATGGAAGCCATTAGCAAGATGTGTAGGAGTCACGGACAAAGGCAGATTCACAATCAGAACTATTGTCATGGTCATTTACTTTTATTACTTGAGCAGCTCCAAGCCCAGACTTTTCAAAAGGTTTTCTTGGCAACCGAGGAAAATCTTTCAATCCCTTAAATCAGAAGGCGTGGCAGCATAACCTTTCTACTGAATATAGCCCTTCACATGAATCCTTGATCATGAAATAGTCTCTAGTGAAGGAAACAGATCTTCCTTTTGCTTTCTCTGCTTGTTTGTTCATTTGTGCCGTGTGAAATTGAAGGTGATCTGTCCTAGAATGTGTCAGTGCAGCCCACCAAGTTTACTGGACAGGGTTTACCACTTTAAACTACAGAAGACATGTTAAAACTCGGCCGTGAAAATAATGACAAAATTTATACTTTTATTCAAGGACTAGATTGTGTTTAGGACAAAAAAAGTCTTTCCTATTTAAAATTCATGCCCTGTAAATTTTAGTTTGTATATTCACAATCCACTTGGGCACTTAACACTTTTTTGTTTCCTTATTATAAACTTCAAAATCATTACTTACTTGATGTTAAGGGTTCTCCGTTAAAACTGAAAGAAAAAATTACTTGAGAGAATAGTTGTTTCAGAATGGTGCCTGCTGTTGCGTCAATGGAGGACTTGTCCGGAGTTTTACATCTAAACCGGTATTTGATGGAGTTTCGTTCACCCACTGGTGGTCTATCCTGGCTGAAATTGAGTACATCAGATTTCACATAGGTGCGGAATTCTATGTAACACTGTGAAATGTAATCTTAACTGCCCTCAAGTACCTTATTAAACTCTTCCTCTGAACCAAGTGTACATTTAAGGAATGGCTGATCATTTATACGAGTACCTTAGATGCAGAAAGTTCCTTCTGCAGCCGTCCTCGTGAGAGTGGGTTCGTATCCGTGCACGCTCCTAATGCTGAAGGAAAAGATTGGCTAATCTGTACCTGAAATTGGGATTGGAAAGATCAGAGAGTAGAGGGTCTCCACAGTGTGTTTCTGCAGCACCGCGTAGTCAAATCTATGTATAGTGACTCTCGTTACTGAAGAGAATTTACAATGAAATTTTCCATGTTGGTGTTTTATAGGAATGCTCTTATAATCAATGACTAGGCTGCTTTTTTGAGGCTCTCATTGTATAGAGGATGCAGCCAGTTACATTTTAATCAGTGGGCTGCTTATTAATGTTTTTATATGTTTTAAAATAATATTTATTTTAATAGATTTTTAACATGGAAATCCCAGTAAACAACTGACAAGCTCTATAGTTTATTGATTGGGAAGACTTTCTGAAATGGCGCCTGAAGACACATTTTTATGCCGACTGATTTGTCTCACCTTTAGAATTAATGATACCTGTCTTCTTTTAGAAAACCTTTTATAAAGCAAAACCAAACCAAAATGACCCCAAGACTCTATGTCCTAGAAATAACAACATAAAGAAAGATCCATGCGGAATCACTGTCTAAAGCTGAAGTCCGTGATGCACGGCCATCTCTCCGCTCACGTTTCGTCAGATTTTGCTGCCGCAGAAAGAAATGGAAATAAAATGAAAAACCAAAAGATACAGAGCAACACCCAACACAATGACTAGCCATTTTCTTAATAACATGTTTCAAGTGGAGAGAGTAACTAGCTACCTTTTCCTGGAGTCGTAAATGACTGTGCCCTGGCCAGTCTCTATTTTGGGGTAACTTCTCCGAGAAATTAACTTGGTAATATCGCTTTTCTGTCCTTCACCGCTAAAGGACACCCGTGAAGAGTTTGACAGACTTCAACATCTGCCCCCTTCCCAGTTTTAAGTATTTTTGGTTCTGTATGTGCAGATTGGTCAACAAAGTACCTTTGCTCCTGACTTTGTGTCACAAGGAGAAAGGAATCAAACACCCCACACAGACATGTTCCAAGCCAAGCTTCGTCTGTCACCTATGCACGACCGCCTCTCGGAACCAGAAAGGCACCGCGTGAAGCAGTAGGAATGACACTAGAGATAATTCAGGTGGAACGAGAGAAACCCTTCTACGTGCAGAGGGAGACCGTATGAGCTCATTCCTGCCTGCCTTGAAGAGTCGTATCTTGACCTGTGCCTAGGAGCGGTCGGACATCGTCGCCCGAACATGGGGAGGGGGCCCCAGCTGTAACAGCCGGTTTTTGTCGTCTGCCTTCCCCGGGTAAGACTAGAATGTGGCGTTCTGTGCTTTTTTGTTTTTGTTACTCCAAAATATTTTTTTAAAGAAGGGTTATTTTTCAACAGATCCGTAAACTATTTCTTGTTGTATGGTTCTCAGTTTGAACTCCCGCTGTGTCGGTTACACTGTGACGTGATGATTTCATAACCCCTCCTTTCCAGTCCGTGTCCCTGGCGCTGCTGGCTTATTGCTGGGTTTTACAGATGTTTTTAACTTGCGTATAAATGTTTTTTTTTTTCTAATTTCTGTGTCTTTCAAACTAATTAAACGGTAGTTTAAAAATATGTGTGTGTGTGTTTGCTAATTTCTGAGGCTTTAAATTCCATCTATAGAAGTGAACTCCAGGCCTTTCACCTCAGGAGAGATCATGGTCTTTCGTTTACTAGGGGATTCTTCAACATGATGATTATATTCTAAGGAATCATTAACTCTTTAATCGCTTACAGATGACTTAAAACATTGCAAGGACGTGGATGGAGCTAGAGTGAATGTATTATGCAGAGTGAAATAAGTCAGAGACAAATGCCATATGATGTCACTCGTGTGGAATTTAAGAAAACAGATGAACATATGGGGGGGGGAATAAAAGAGAGGGAAACAAACCATGAGAGACTTAAGGATGGAGAACAAACAGGGTTGCTGGAGGGAGGTGGGGGGATGGGCTAAATGGGTGATGGGCATTAAGGAGGGCACTTGGGATGAGCACGTGGTGTTATATGTAAGTGATCAATCACTGAATTCTCCTGAAACAGTGCACTTGTATATTAACTAACTGGAATTTAAATAAAAATTTGAAAAGAAAAATACTTAAATTGTAGTCACATAAACACTTTGGAAGGCAATTAAAACAACGTTAAGTTAGGGGCGCCTGGCTGTCTCAGTAGAGCATGCGACTCTTGATCTCGGGCTTGTGAGTTCAAGCCCCACGTCGGGCATGGAGCTTACTTCAAAACACAAATCCCTCAAGTGAGTGTACCTCTCAAGTGAGACCTCAAAACACAAACCTCTCAAGTGAGAGCACCAGGGCTCCCACTGGGTTCCTGTGCCTTGATTTCAGACTCCAGGGAACTGTGCGTCCAGAGGCCCCTCTAGATTCTGTCGTGAACCACCATGGGAAAAACGTCTTCCGCTAACCCTCGTACGAAGATGCCAGGCTGGACACCCCCAAGTAAGCCCGTCCTGGTACTTGCTCACTGGGAAGGCCTTAGACTGTGATGGCAGGTTTAATGACTCCCTTTTGAGATTCAGGGCTGTGCTGACATTGGGCCACGACCACGAGTGGTAGGGGCACCGCTCCTGGAGTTGCCTGCCAGCCCAGCACATCCCTCCCAAACACAACAGCTTGGGTAACATGCTTTGCGGGAAGGAAGGCCCGTGGAAGGGCTCCTATTTTATATGGATAAATATTGTAATAATGTATTTTGTATTCGTTCTTTGAACTATCCATTCCATGATTCATGAGTTCCTACACTTGCGGGGCAACTGAAAACTAAACCATGGCCCTTGGCTTCAAGAAGCTAGTAAGTGATTACCATACAGTACAGGAAGAGCTTTATTATAGGCATGCACAAAGGGGCCTCTGGGACCAGGTGGAGGGGGGAGCTTGGGAAGACTCTGGGACAGCTGTGCACAGGGTTTGTGAGGAAGTGTTTTACTGGCGGAGAAAGATGTGGGAGGGGCAATAACTAGAGGAAGAAAAAAAGCATATGTGGAGAATTTTCTAGCATTACACACCCATAGACGAAAACGAACAAGGTTAAATCCACTATGTGCCAACTATCCAACACTAACTTGTCTTCCCCCAATTAGGAAAGGAATAATAGGAAGACATGGAGTTTAGACCATTTTTTTAAAATAAAAAAATAAGGGGCGCCTGGGTGGCGCAGTTGGTTAAGCGTCCGACTTCAGCCAGGTCACGATCTCGCGGTCCGTGAGTTCGAGCCCCGCGTCGGGCTCTGGGCTGATGGCTCAGAGCCTGGAGCCTGTTTCCGATTCTGTGTCTCCCTCTCTCTCTGCCCCTCGCCCGTTCATGCTCTGTCTCTCTCTGTCCCAAAAATAAATAAACGTTGAAAAAAATAAAAAAATAAGACCTTATGAAATATTTCAAGCATATAGTTCACTACAGAACACAATTAATAGACACTCATGTGCCCACTGCTGACGTTGAACAAATGTTTTTGCTTTGCCACATTAGGTTCAAAATTTGTCTTTTTAAAAAAAATTTTTTTAAGTGTATTTACTTTGAGAGACCGTACAAGTGGGGCTGGGGGCAGAGCGAGAGAGAGAGAGAGAGAGAGAGAGAGAATCCCAAGCAGACTCCATGCTGCTGGCTGCAGAGCCCGATGTGGGGCTCCAGCTCATGAACCGTGAGATCGTGATCTGACCTGAAAGTAAGAGTCAGATGCTGGGGCACCTGGGTGGCCCAGTCGGTTAAGTGTCTGACTTTGGCCCAGGCCATGATCTTGCAGTTGGTGAGTTCGAGCCCCACCTCCGGTTCTGTGCTGAGAACTTAGAACTTGGAGCCTGCTTTGGATTCTGTGTCTCCCTCTTTCTCTGCCCCTCCCCCACTTGTGCTCTGTCCCTGTCTCTCAAAAATGGACAAACATTGAAAAACACTTCTAAAAACTCAGACACTTAACTGAGCTACCCAGGCGTCCCAACCTTTTTTTTTTTTTTTCTTTTTTTCTTAAATAAAAAGCATATCGCACATAAGGCCAACATACCTTTCTCTTCTCCCTCCTTTAGAAGTAACAGCTACATCAGTATGAGCCTCTTTTTGTCAGCTTTTTGGTTGCCTTTCTTTCTTGTAAACCTAGCTACATGTCTTTAAAAACATTTTTATGTTCAGGACGCCTGGGTGACTCAGTCGGGTAGGTGTCCTGCTCTTTGGTTTTGGCTCAGGTCGTGATCTCATGGTCTCGTGGGTTCAAGCCCTGCATTGGGCTCCTCGCTCTCCCTCTCATGTTGTCTCTGTATCTCTCAAAAATAACAAATAAACATGAAAATATTTTTAAAAATTTTGCGTTCTGTTTTGTATGCTTTTCTAGGTGTCTATAGCAAGACCGTGGCGTTGGCTCATTCAAGCTTGTTGCTATAGGCAGATGTCGGCTCAGATTGTTAATGTCATTAAAATACTGCATTTCTCTTTACCGGTAAGCTCTTTTCTATTTTCTTACTACATTTCTTTTTCAAATGTGCTTTGTTTTGTGCTCATGTCCTGCAGAGCAATTCCGGTGGCATCCATTAGCATAGGCTGAGACTCGCCACCAGCCGAGGGCAGGCCCAGATCTGCCGGCCAGGGCTGAGCGGGGTGCCCTGTGCCCAGGAGACGGATGCCATTCACTGGTTGCCATCCTTTTTCGTGGGGTGGGTAAGAGAGTACTGTGACGAGCCCAGCCTAAGATCTGAGCTACCGTCAGTGGGGAAGGCCACCGCCCCCCACCTGGAGACCGGGGGCTCCTGAGACCACGAGGCCCCTCCAGCTGGCCAACTGGACCACCAGCACCTCAGGAAAGCTGAGTTCCTGTTTGTCACCCCACACCTTTTAAATGCATGAGTCGCCTGCTCTCAGGAAGAATGTTATAAACACATTGCCTCGGGATCGAGCTGCTGCTCCCTCCCATCCCCGCCAA